TGGGTATGGATGACCAGCCAAGCACATAAAGGGAGATTAATTAAAGTTGGAATAGTTGGAAAACTATTTTTTTCTGGAGGCAAGGAAAATATATTTCCTCTAGAATTCTGGAAGAGAAATTTACATCCTCTCCTTCATTATTCATCAGGACCACTTGATCCTGAGTTTATTTAGTTATCTAATCCTGAGTTTTTTTGTGGGTCCCTTAATTTGAGAAAGCATTCCTATTCGAAATTTGAAGTCTCCAGGCCTTTACTTAGTTCTTAGCCTGAAAATCTGCTCTGGGTCCCCTTTAAATGTTTCCTTGTTCCCAGATTTTCCGAATTTTTCACAACGTCCTGCCATTAAAGTTTTTACTACGACGTAGTTATAGTTTTTATAAATTTAGATTTGTTCTCCATAAACTGTCTGCAGCACTCATACCTACTCACACATACACACATCTACTCATACATACCCTCTCCAGACATTATTTCCCCTGGATTGCAAAAAAAAATTGGCTGATGTTGCAGATTTCTTTGGAAGCTGCAGAACATAACAAACTGGCAACGAGTGCTGCCGGTCATAAATGCTGACTGCAGCCTGCCTCCATTCTCTGGATGCTGTTGCTCCATTCTGTCGATGGATGGTATTGGTGTGTTGGTGCTGTCTGCTGCCGCTCATCAGCTAGAAAATAGCTCTGACTGGCATCATCAATTACCGGGCAATACAAAATGCAGCGAACGGGGCAATGCAATATCGGGCATAACTCGGAGCACACCAATCCGCCAGAGTGAGTGAGTGAACGAACAGACAGACGAACTGTCAGTCAGCCAGCCGTCCAACTTTCCTGTCATTCCATAGAATATTCTGCACGCATCTATTGACATTCGAGCGATGTTTTAACGAATTTTTAACTCTTTTGCCTCTCCCTTTCTCTCTCTCTCTCTCTCCACACTTCCACCTTCCATCCAGACTTGGGATGTTCTCGACAGCTCTTCCCAGGTTATGGAAAATCAAAAGAAAAATTATTCTCCACATTTAATGGTTGGAAAATTGTTGGATGTTTTTCCTTATTGTTGTTGTTGTGTAATGCTAGACACATTCCATACCGAACAAATACAACAAAAACAAAGAACGAACCCTCTGAAAATCATAGAATATGCAATGAGTACGAGCCAACAAGAAAAACAACAATTTGTTGCATTCAACAAGAACAGCAACACAAAATAACAACAACTGCAACAACAACAATGTACACCAAAAGAATTCCAAATCGTGGAAAAGATGAGAAGCAGATGATGTTTAATGGTGTTTTTCCTGGCGTTCTCTGGTGAGTGTTACTTCATACACAGACACACACACATACATACATGCATATAATAGTTGTAATATGCAATTACACTCAGAGAAAAAATGCTAGAGGTCTGAACTCGACGTTCTATGCAAAGACATTTAAGCAAGTTTTTTTCTCGCGGGTAAAACATACTTGTGAGAGGGAGTGCTCGAAGAGCAGGAGTTTTATACGAAGTTTACTTCCCACTCATTTGCCATATGTGAAAGAGCTTTGGAGTCACTCCTGTTCGAAAAAAAAGGGTGCGAGTTTAAATGCTCGAAATAGAATAAGAATTTACTAAAATAGTAAAATCGAGAGAAAAAACTAGTTTAGGTTTTTTTAAAAATATTTATTTAAAGGACCAACGAATCGGTGAATTAAAAAAATATTTCTTCAAATGACCGAAAAAAAAAATATTTTTGAATTTTTTAAAAAAATAAAATATTTTTTTCAAAGTATCAACCGACGTGGATTTTTAAAAAAATATTTTTTTCAAAAGACCAACAGACGTGGATTTTTTAAAAAAATATTTTTTTCAAAAGACCAACAGACGTGGATTTTTTAAAAAAATATTTTTTTCAAAAGACCAACAGACGTGGATTTTTTAAAAAAAATATTTTTTTCAAAAGACCAACAGACGTGGATTTTTTAAAAAAATATTTTTTTCAAAAGACCAACAGACGTTGATTTTTTAAAAAAATATTGTAAAATATTTTTATAGAAGAACAACAGGCCTGGATTTTTTTAAAAATATATTTTTTTAAAGAACAACAGGCCTGGATTGTTTTTTAAAAATATTTTTTGCTAAAGAACAACAGGCCTGGTTTTTTTTTTTTTTAAATAACTTTTTTGAAGAACAAGAGGCCTGGATTTTTTAAAAAATATTTTTTCAAAGGACAAACAGACGTGGATTTTTTAAAAGAATATTTTTCAAAAGAACAACAGACGTGGATTTTTTAAAAGAATATTTTTTTAAAAGAACAACAGACGTGGATCTTTTAAAAAATATTTTTGAAAAAAAGAACAACAGACGTGGATTTTTTAACAAAAATATTTTTTCAAAAGAACAACAGACGTGGATTTAAAAAAAAATATTTTTCAAAAGAACAACAGACGTGGATTTAAAAAAAATATTTTTCAAAAGAACAACAGACGTGGATTTAAAAAAAATATTTTTCAAAAGAACAACAGACGTGGATTTAAAAAAAAATATTTTTCAAAAGAACAACAGACGTGGATTTAAAAAAAAATATTTTTCAAAAGAACAACAGACGTGGATTTAAAAAAAAAATATTTTTCAAAAGAACAACAGACGTGGATTTAAAAAAAAATATTTTTCAAAAGAACAACAGACGTGGATTTAAAAAAAAATATTTTTCAAAAGAACAACAGACGTGGATTTAAAAAAAAATATTTTTCAAAAGAACAACAGACGTGGATTTAAAAAAAATATTTTTCAAAAGAACAACAGACGTGGATTTAAAAAAAAATATTTTTCAAAAGAACAACAGACGTGGATTTAAAAAAAAAAAAACAAATATTTTTCAAAAGAACAACAGACGTGGATTTTTTAAAAAAATATTTTTTTTTCAAAAGAACAACACACGTGGATTTTTTTAAAAAATATTTTTCTTCAAAAGAACAACAGAGGTGGATTTTTTAACAAATATTTTTTTCAAAGATCCAACAGATGTGGATTTTTAAAAAAATGTTTTTCTTCAAAAGAACAACAGACGTGGATTTTTTAAATAAAAACATTTTTCTTCAAAAGAAGAACAGCCGTGGATTTTTTAAAAAATATTTTTCTTCAAAAGAACAACAGACGTGGACTTTTTAAAAAATATTTTGAAAGGTCCAACAGACGTGGATTTTTTAAAAAATATTTTTTGAAAGGTCCAACAGACGTGGATTTTTTAAAAAATATTTTTTGAAAGGTCCAACAGACGTGGATTTTTTAAAAAATATCTTTTTTCAAAGGATAACAAATGTGGATTTTTTAAAAAATGTTTTTTCAAAGGAACAGCAAACGTAAATTTTTTAAAAAATATTTTTTCAAAGGACTAGCAGACGAGGATTTTTTAAAAAATATTTTTTCAAAGGACCAGCAGACGTGGATTTTTTAAAAAATATTTTTTTCAAAAGACCAACAGACGTGGATTTATTAAAAAATAAATATTTAAAAGACCGAAAGACGTTGATTTTTTAAAAAAAATATTGTAAAATATTTTTATAAAAGAACAACAGGCCTGGATTTTTAAAAAAATATTTTTTTTCAAAAGACCAACTGACGTGGATTTTTTAAAAAATATTTTTTCTCAAAAGACCGAAAAACGTTGATTTTTAAAAAAAATATTGTAAAGTATTTTTATAAAAGAACAACAGGCCTGGATTTTTTTTTAAAAAATATTTTTTTAAAGAACAACAGGCCTGTATTGTTTTTTAAAAATATTTTTTGCTAAAGAACAACAGGCCTGGATTTTTTTAAAAAATATTTGTTAAAAGAACAACAAGCCCGGATTTTTTAAAAAATATTTTTTCTAAAGAACAACAGGCCTGGATTTTTTAAAAAATATTTGTTAAAAGAACAACAGGCCCGGATTTTTAAAAAAATATTTTTTTCAAAGGCCCAGCAGACGTTGATTTTTTTAAAAAAAATAATTTAAAAAAAACAACAGACGCGGATTTTTTAAAAAATATTTTTCAAAAGAACATCAGACGTCAATTTTTTTTTAAAAAAATATTTTTTCAAAAGTGGATTTTTTTAAAAAATATTTTTCAAAATTGGATTTAAAAAAAAATATTTTTTTCAAAAGAGGATTTTTTAAAAAAATATTTTTCAAAATTGGATTTTAAAAAAAAATATTTTTTTCAAAAGTTGTAGAGCGATCTTACATTATATATTTATTTTGTTTATTTTTATTAATTTATCGTTAACATTTATAATCATATTTATTTATCTTTATACCTATTTTGCAATTGTAATGCTTTCGTCAATCCTTACTAAAGCGTTTTGATTCACTGTGCAACATTGTTATGATTAGTTTTTCTACCTGCTTCAGTGGACTTTGTTAAAGTTGTAACGTATATTCCAAACACATTGAGTGATCGAACGAACGAAGGGTTACAATGTAACAGTTATTGAGATGCGTTCGATCACTGATTGAGTTTTTCTTTGTTGTCTCTTTTGTGCTTTGCTAAGTTAACGTAAAGAGCTTTCACTTGTTTATTTAACAATAGAGTCGTTTAAATTGTAAACGATCGATATGTTTGGAAAAAAGCTTTGTTTGGATGGCTATAAAAGAGCGAAGGTTTAATGCGCCGGACCTTGATTCTCTTATAGACAATCCATAAGGTAAGAACTAAGTCTTCTTGGAAACACGATTGTGTGGCCGGTTGGCTTATTCTTCCGAAGCTAATTACATAGAATACTTGGTGAAAGCGATGGCAGTCCCTTGTATTCATGTTTGAGGCATATGGACCAATTGTCAAAAATGTAAGATTTATTTTCAATAAAGAATTTTTATAACGATTTTATGTAGAAAACCTTGGTGTATTTTATTTGGAATTGGAACCGGAAATCTACACACCAAACCCTGCTACATAATTGGCGCCCAACTTTTATTTTATATATAAAATTTTTATGGAAATTCCTGAAACCCCACGAAGAAGTCCACGCCTAAAAATCATGACCAGTGCATCTTTAACAACTGAGCAATTTGAGACGTTAGTAAAAGCTGTAGCTGCAGCTAATGTAAAAGTTGGAACTTTTAGCCATTGTTCAGCTCGCTATAATGGTGAAAAAGATTCGACCAAGCTTGAGGAGTTCATCTCGGCTATCACAACTTTCAAAACTGTGGAAAATATTGGAGATATGGAAGCCATTAATAGTATGCCAATGCTGTTGTTGGGTGATGCTTCCGAGTGGTGGAGTGGCGTGAAGTCGAAAGCTAAGAAATTTGATGATGTGGTGAATATGCTGCGTGATTCCTTTTGCCCAGCAAAGCCGGCATGGCGCATATATGCGGAAATTTGTGAAGGAAAGCAGCAGAAGAATGAAGCCACAGATGTGTTCATTAGGAAGAAGAGGGCGTTATTCGCTAAACTTCCAAAAGTTCCGTCGGAAAATGACCAAATCGACATCCTGTTTGGAATGCTTCATGTCCAGATTCGTGAACGAGTTATTCGTCATAAGGTGGCAAATTTCGACGAATTGCTCAAGGATGCACGAGAAGCTGAAGATTCCCTAAACGAGCGTAGAGCGATCTTACATTATATATTTATTTTGTTTATTTTTATTAATTTATCGTTAACATTTATAATCATATTTATTTATCTTTATACCTATTTTGCAATTGTAATGCTTTCGTCAATCCTTACTAAAGCGTTTTGATTCACTGTGCAACATTGTTATGATTAGTTTTTCTACCTGCTTCAGTGGACTTTGTTAAAGTTGTAACGTATATTCCAAACACATTGAGTGATCGAACGAACGAAGGGTTACAATGTAACAGTTATTGAGATGCGTTCGATCACTGATTGAGTTTTTCTTTGTTGTCTCTTTTGTGCTTTGCTAAGTTAACGTAAAGAGCTTTCACTTGTTTATTTAACAATAGAGTCGTTTAAATTGTAAACGATCGATATGTTTGGAAAAAAGCTTTGTTTGGATGGCTATAAAAGAGCGAAGGTTTAATGCGCCGGACCTTGATTCTCTTATAGACAATCCATAAGGTAAGAACTAAGTCTTCTTGGAAACACGATTGTGTGGCCGGTTGGCTTATTCTTCCGAAGCTAATTACATAGAATACTTGGTGAAAGCGATGGCAGTCCCTTGTATTCATGTTTGAGGCATATGGACCAATTGTCAAAAATGTAAGATTTATTTTCAATAAAGAATTTTTATAACGATTTTATGTAGAAAACCTTGGTGTATTTTATTTGGAATTGGAACCGGAAATCTACACACCAAACCCTGCTACAAAGTGGATTTTTTAAATGAATGACTAACAGATGTAGATTTTTTAAAATATATATTTTCAAAGAATCAACCGACGTGGCTTTTTTAAAAAATATTTTTTTCAATGACCAACAGACGTGATTTTTTTTAAAAATGTTTTTTTCAAAGATCCAACAGACGTGGATTTTTTAAAAAAATAGTTTTTCAAAGAATCAACAGACGTGGATTTTTTAAAAAATATTTTTTTTTCAAAGGTCCAACAGACGTGGATTTTTTAAAAAATATTTTTTTTCAAAGGTCCAACAGACGTGGATTTTTTAAAAAATATTTTTTTTTCAAAGGTCCAACAGACGTGGATTTTTTAAAAAATATTTTTTTTCAAAGGTCCAACAGACGTGGATTTTTTAAAAAATATTTTTTTAAAGGACGTGGGTTTTTAAAAAAAAATATTTTTACAATTTTTTTTAAAAAATATTTTTACAATTTTTTTTAAAAAATATTTTTACAAAAGAAAAACAGGCCTGAAAAAATAACTTTACAAAAGACAAACAGGCCTAGATTTAAAAAAAAATATTTTTTTCTAAAGAAAAACAGGCCTGGATTTAAAAAAATATATTTTTTTAAGAAAAACAGGCCTGGATTTTTTAATAAAAATATTTTTCAAATGAGCAACAGGCGTGGATTTTAAAAAATAAATTTTTTTGGAGGAGTGTTGTCATAGAATCAAACCTGCGAAATGAAATTCAGGCGAGTTTCATTCTCTAATCAAATTTAAGCGGGAATACTCTTAGGAGTAGAAAGAAATCGATTGGCTGTAAAACTCTCTCGAAAACGAGCAGTTTCTACTCTCTTCGAAAAAACAATAGAGTGAAGAGTAAACCTCGTAATAAACTCGCGCTCTTCAAGTACTCCCTATCGCGCGGAAGTTTCACTCGAGAATAAAAAGTTGATTTTTAAATGTCTTGGAAGACCTCTTTAGAAGTCCTCTCTTAGAAGTACCCAATTTCTTCTTCTAAATAGGAAAATATGCAAAGATTCTTTAAAGAAAGATCATTTCTTCTTTGGGAAAACTTCAACTCCTTGCCTTTGTTTGAGTGTAAGGCATTAACCCTTTCCCTCACCCCACAGCCTCGCCCCACACTTTGGAATGTTGTTGTTCGATGATGATGATGATGATGATGATAATGATTCTGATGATGACGACTATGATGACGCTGAGTGTTATTGAACTGTGTGGCGTTGTTGGTGTGATGTAGTGCGGTAGCTGCTGCCATGGTTGGCGTTGGATGATGATGCTGCAACAAATGCAGCATTCTATTGGACGTCATACCATCCAGCATCCATATACGAAGCTATCATCATCTCCACTCATGCCACCCAAAAACATGGATAAAGATGTATTCATATATGTATGTATGAGTATGTGTGTATATATGTATCTTTGTTTTAGCTCTCTCTGTATTCTTCATATTTTTTAGGGGGTTAAGGTTAAAGCAAGATTTTTGCGTTAGGTTAGTTATTTGCTCCCCTCAATTGTTGGGTTGCCTACTCTCTTTTCTGGGAGAGTTGGCTCTCTCTCTCGCATGTCATAACTAACGGTTTGCCTAAATGAATTTGGGGGCCTAGAGAAAGAAATGAGTCGTTGCATGGGTGGCTCCCACAAATATGGGAGATGATTTTCTCCGAAAATACACATTCTCCCAAAAAAATTGTGCGAGAGAACGTTTTGTATTATGGCTGGTCTAATGGTCTCCCATGTTGTTGTATATATTAGCAAATGAGAGGAAAGCATCTGGTCTTTGGAATTTTGTATGCACCTAGAGCATAGATGCCCAATGTAATAGTGTTGGTGAGAGCGACAAAATAACACTGGAAGAAACGATTTTTCTATTCATTTTATTTAGTCGTCAACGGGATAGCGACGAAAGCATATGTGTGGCGGGTGTCGTCATTTTTTTTCTTTTTCTATGAAATGTAAAATTAATGAATATACATGTTTTAGTAATACTCTTGATAAATGCATTTATTTAAGTAGTTTCAAAATGTTTTTTTAAATTATATTTCTTATTTTTTTTAATGTCTTATAACATATAAAACATTGCATATCATCAAAAGCATTTTGTATCATAAAATACTTTTCAAATGACATCATTGACATATCGCAATAATTTTCAGTTTATGTGTTCACTAACAGCAGTCTCGATTACGATTAAATTTTAATATTACACAGAACTTCTGCCTGTGTAGCTTGTCTCTCCCACTCATATTTCTGCTTTCCTATTGGTTGATTGGCGATCAAACAAAAGAGCGTAAGAATACGTGTGAGTTGAAATTGCTGAAATCAGCCACTACTGGGCATCTATAACCTAGAGCAATGCATTTTATCATGAATACATAAAGAAAAAGAGAGAGAGAGGGAGTAAGAGAGCAAATGTGTATGCATTACAGGGTGCATCATAAAAACCCATTTCAGAACGGCAGCCAAATAACACCAAACAAAACAGACCTCCGACTGAATGTGCAATATTAAAAATAACTTCATGTGTCATCTCCATCGTCATCCACAGAAGTCTTTGGTGGTGGCTGATGCTGCTGCAGCTTCGGTATAACAAAAATATGGCTGCCAACCCCACTCAGTGTTACTGACCTTGCATAATAATGCAATTTTTGTGCAATTTTGCTTAGGGGAGGTTAAAACCGCACACACACACACATGCACTCAGCCATCCAGAGATGCCACACACGTTCGCACAGACACCAACATCTCGACAACAAACATCCTGCTATAATGGCTTCTTGCAACAAAATTTTAATATAATTTTGTTGTAATTCCCAATCCTCGTTCCCTTTCTTTGGGGAGCCCTTGCCAGGCTAGTAATGCGTCTAGAGTGTATTTTTTTTATGCTACTCTGCAATTATCCTTTGCTTCCTTTCACAAAATTCCCTAGCTGCATTAGTTGCCAGTGACAAAGAGAGCGGATGGGGGAAGGGAAGTTGAATGAATCTGTCGACATTGCCTCCGTCGCTCGCTCTCTATCCTGCCATAGCTTCAATTATTTTCATTTGTTGACTAAGGTAAAGGACTGAATGTCACTTGATTTGGTTTTTCTCTTTTTTTTGGGTTGTGGTACTTTCTCCTCCACAAGTCCTTGCTTGGCGTAGTCCTTTGTGAATTGAGTGGTCGAAAAGCAAAACTTTAATTAAATTATAATTTAATAGAATTTTTGATGGAAAATAAACATAGACAAATTGGGGAACCTAGGGAAAATATTTAGAAGAATATAAGGATAAAAAATGAATAGATATTTCGAAAGAATGGTAGGAAGGAAGAGAAATTTATCGTTTTTACAACAGATAACGATTTCTTTCTTGTCGGATTTTACTATGAAAGAGCATAATTTTTTTCCATCAGAAAAGGTTTGTTATCGACCTTTTTTAATCGGAAAAGTTTTTTATCGATTTGAAACAGTTTGTTATCGAACTTTTTCTATAGGAAAAAATTAGTTATCGAACTTTTTCTATAGGAAAAAATTAGTTATCGAATTTTTTCTATAGGAAAAAATTGGTTATCGAATTTTTTCTATAGGAAAAAATTGGTTATCGAATTTTTTCTATAGGAAAAAATTGGTTATCGAATTTTTTCTATAGGAAAAAATTGGTTATCGAATTTTTTCTATAGGAAAAAATTGGTTATCGAATTTTTTCTATAGGAAAAAATTGGTTATCGAATTTTTTCTATAGGAAAAAATTGGTTATCGAATTTTTTCTATAGGAAAAAATTGGTTATCGAATTTTTTCTATAGGAAAAAATTGGTTATCGAATTTTTTCTATAGGAAAAAATTGGTTATCGAATTTTTTCTATAGGAAAAAATTGGTTATCGAATTTTTTCTATAGGAAAAAATTGGTCATAGATTTTTTTGGTTATGGAAAAAGTTTGTTATTAAACTTTTTACATAGGAAAAACTTTGTAATCGAACTTTTCCATAGGAAAAAGTTTGTTATTAAACTTTTTACATAGGAAAAACTTTGTAATCGAACTTTTCCATAGGAAAAAGTATGTTATCGAACTTTTTCCATAGAAAAAAATTGGTTATCGAATTTTTTCCGTAGGAAAAAATTGGTTATCGTTATCAAATTTTTTCTATAGGAAAAAATTGATTATCGAATTTTTTCTATAGGAAAAAATTGGTTATCGTTATCAAATTTTTTCTATAGGAAAAAATTGATTATCGATTTTTTTCTATAGGAAAAAATTGGTTATCGAACTTTTTCCTATAGGAAAATGTTTGTTATCGAATTTTTTCTATAGGAAAAAGTTTGTTATCGAATTTTTTCTATAGGAAAAAGTTTGTTATCGAATTGTTTCTATAGGAAAAAGTTTGTTATCGAATTTTTTCTATAGTAAAAAGTTTGTTATCGAAATTTTTCTATAAGGAAAAGTTTGTTGTCGAATTTTTTTAATAGGAAAAAATTGGTTATCGATTATTTTCTATAGGAAAAAAATGGTTATCGATTTTTTTCTATAGGAGAAAATTGGTTATAGAATTTTTTCTATAGAAAGAAAATGGTTATGGAATTTTTTCCATAGGAAAAAATTGGTTATCGAATTTTTTCCATAGGAAAATTTTGGTTATCGAATTTTTTTCATAGGAAAAATTTGGTTATTGAATTTTCTCCATAGAAAACATGGTTGTTATCGAACTTCTTCTATAGAAAATTGTTTGTTATTGAACTTTTTCTGTAGAAAATTTGAAATTCGAATTCTTTGAAATTTGTTCCTTTCATGTCAACAAACCACCAATTATTGTACTCCAAATTCTCCACCTCCTCCAGGAGTACACTAACCTTTCTTTGCAAATTATTTGTTGCGAAGACAATGCAATCCCAAAATTGGAAGTTCATTGTAATCACCCAGGAGCAAAAATCCTTAATTATGACCTTGGTTAAACTTTGGCCCCTAGCCGCCATAAAATGAGGCAACCTTCCAATCAAAATCTACAGAATAACCTTCTTCCACAACGTCTGTGTGGACAATGGTGATGGCGGCGATGATGGTGATGACAAATCAAATGTCATTGTCTTGAGTTTATTGGCATTTCTTTTTCTCCGGCTATTTAACTCTGGCAAACGCACCCGACGACGTCTCAAGTGCATGACCTTTTCGGTGCGTCGATTTGCCACCTCCGGCTGGAATGTGAATTCAATTTCGTAAAAACCCTAACCTAGTCCAAGACGAAACGACGAATGACAATCAGTTTTTGTCGATTTACGAAAGAAACATGACATGAGAACGAAAATAATCAATTCCAGTCCGGGTTCCACCGTTCCACCATGTCTGGCGGGGGTGGAGGAGGAGAAAGTCTGTCGTTGACACATCGATAGTTTGTAGACAATAGCAGAAATGATTGGTTATGAGAAAAGAACAGTGGGTTCAAGCATCGATTTCGACTTTTTTTGATAGGAAAACAATTGATACCGGCTTTTTCCGATCGGTAAAATCAGATATCGACTTTTTTCGATTGGAAAACATCCGATATCGGCTTTTTTCTATTGGAAAAAGTCCGATATCGACTTTTTTCGATTGGAAAAAAATACGATATCGCCATTTTTTAATTGCAAAATTATTGATATCGACTTTTTTCAATTGCAAAATTATTGAAATCGACTTTTTTTGATAGGAAAATTATCGATATCGACATTTTTCGATTGGGAAAAAAATCGATAGCGACATTTTTTCGATATAGGAAAAAATTCGATAGCGACATTTTTCGATATAGGAAAAATTCGATAGCGACTTTTTTTCGATATAGGAAAAAAATCGATATCGACATTTTTTCGATATGGGAAAAAATTCGATGTCGACCTTTTTTTCGATAGGAAGAAATCAATATCGCTTTTTTTCGATAAGAAAATTATCAATATCGATATTTTTTAAGATAATTATCGATATCAACTTTTTTCAATGGGAAAAAAATCGATATCAACTTTTTTCAATGGGAAAAAAATCGATATCGCTTTTTTTAATGGGAAAAAATCGATATCGCCTTTTTTCGATAGGAAAAAATTCGATATCGACCTTTTTTCCATAGGAAAAAATTCGATATCGGCCTTTTTTTCGATAGGAAAAAATTCGATATCGACCTTTTTTCCGATAGGAAAAAATCCGATATCGATATTTTTCCGATAGGAAAAAATCCGATATCGATATTTTTCCGATAGGAAAAGATTCGATATGGACTGCTTTTCGATAGGAA